CCCAATAGTACCTTAAAGTAGGACCAGTTTTGTGTACATCTGTCTGTTTCTTCCACAGATATATGAAGCTGCTTGAGAGAAAAGGACTCTGTATGTGGTGTTTATATGATATACTTATTATAACGCTATATGAGTATTGAATGAAAATAATTTTAAAATATTTATTTATTTGTTTATTTCTTTTTTTGCCAGAGGGCATGTGTACTAACAAGAGAGTGACAGAGAGAAAGGAAGAGGGGGAAATTAACCCCCAGTGGGGCATAGTCACACTGCGGTCCCTTCTCCCTTTCTCCATCCTATCAGAATTTGGAGCATGCACACACATGCATTTGGCATATTTTTCAAGACTCTGAGGACAGGATTTGACCTGCATATTTGGCCATATGGGACCCAGTTCCCTTAACCACTAGGGCACAAGGCTGGCCCAAACATCATATAATGGAAAAGTGTCCCTTTACTATACAAAAGTTTATCAAAATAGTAATTATTTATTTTCTACAAACAGAAGTGGATGTTTGTAGACATGTATACTGGAACATATAGAGTTATTAAATAGGATGCTCCTAATTAATACATTATGTTTTCTGTTTTAGCTTATCTATTTTAGGCAAGGACATGAAGCTTATGTGCGGGCTGTAAGGAAATCAAAAATATATAGTGTTAATTTACAAAAACAGCCATGGAACAAAATGGATCTCAGGGTAAATTTGCCAAATTCATAAGCTTTATAATGGAAATCACTTTGGAATTAAGTTGCTTACCAATAGTCTTTTTCTCAGTTTTATGTGTATTGTATTGCTGATTGTGTCCAGGATAAGGTAATGTATGACACATTGGTAGAACTGTACATTATGGCTCATATTTGATATGTTTCCCAAAATTTGTATACCATCTCTTGTCTTGATTATTTTACCTAATTTTCTTCTCACTTCAGTTCCTCTAGTCTATATCATTCCATAGTTAGAGCAAAATAGGAGTTCCCCAGTGGGGATATTTTCTCTTAGCAATTTTGTACATTCTGGAGAATATAAACTGAATGTGTAGACTGTGAACACTCTCAATATTCTGGCAGCTTTAGAATATATTAATATAAGTCAAAAGAAGCTCAGAATCTGGTGGTATCTTATGGAATATCTTTTTTGATAAAGTACCAGTGTAGATAGGTACATGACATTGAGTAAAGCAGATACATAAAAACAGATTTTCTGTATGTGTCTGTAAATACATATACCCTCATTTGTTCATGCATGCATATATACATACAGATAGACATAGGTTTACATAAATCATGTCTAGTTAAGTTTGTGTGTTTTGTTTTGTTTTCTTTTTTGTTTTTCTAACACGAAGGAAAAGAAACTTTTTACTACAGATTAGTAAAACAAACAAACAAAAACCACTACTGTAGTTTTCCAAGTAAATGAAAGGATTTTTGTGTAATTATGCTTAACAAGAAGAATTCAAGAGAGAATATGTTTAAACAGTAAAATAAAGATTTATCATAGGTATTTGTAAAATTTTTATTAATGTTATAAGATGCTAAAGTACTATATCAATTGAGTTTTACATAATCTTTTGGGAGAAAATGATGGCTACCACTGTCTTGACTCAAATGAAAGTTCATTTTGGGAATCAGAGGAAAGAATAAAACATGGTTTCTTGTTTTGAAGCCTAACCCTTTGGTCCTAGGAAATTGTAAGAGGTAGCATATGTGTCATGTCAGAGCCTAGGTTTTGGAATAAAACCTGGATTTTAATTCAAGCTCTGCTATTTGCTAGTACATAACTTTAAGCAAGTCACTATTCTAGTAAGGATAAGTTTTGTGGTCTGTTAAATGTGACTAATAATTGATGTTGAGGATTGTTGTAAGATAATATTGTAGGCAATCATTAGTCCTTGGGAGGCCCAGGTTCTATTCCTTATCCAATCCAAAGGCTGGTTGTGTGGTATGTTCCTGTAATGCTAGCCACTTCAGAGACTGACACAGGAGGATTATGAGCTCGAGGTTGGCTTGGGCAATGTAGTGAGACCATGTCCAAAAAGAGCTTACTATCATGGTGCACACCTGTAGTCTCGGCTGGGAGATTGAGGCGGTAGGATCACAACATTGCAACTTGTTTTGAGATAAGACAGTCCTCTCCCCAAACATTTGTGTATATATACATCTGTATGCTTATTTACTATATTTCTGCTAGAGGAGTAATTTTAACCTATCAGAGCATTTTAATCCTCTGGGAAGTTTTTTTCTTTTCAAGTTATGTATTCTGAGTTGTACACTAGATCTGTGGAATTGAGCCTATGGAAGTAGGGTTAAAGAACATGAATTTTTAAAAGTTTCCACAAAAATGTATCCTTGGTTTAGAGATATGCTATTAAGGGCCAAAAGCCATGTCATATTTACCTTTGACACTTAAGAGTATTGCCTTACATTTAGTGGGGACTTAAAAAATTCTTAAATTGTAACAAACGTCATGCAAATGTTAGGTAGTTATTTATATTGAAAGTAATCATTTCTTGGTATTCTCGTAAATAGGAGCAAGAATTTGTTAAGATTGTAGGAATCAAATATGAGGTTGGACCACCTACACTGTGCTGCTTGAAGCTTGCATTTCTGGACCCCATTTCAGGCAAAATGACTGGAGAATCATTTTCTATTAAGTGAGTTGCTATCTCTGGGTCTATGTGTGTGTATTTTAATACTTACATATTCTGAAGGAAACAGGACTCAGTGGGATAGGAAATACTTTATATAGCACTACTACCTAGTTTAGAGTTATAAAACCAGAGTTTAATTCTTGATTTACTTCTCCATTGTGTGTGTGTGTGTAAGACAGATCCATGAGCAAGTTACTTAATGCAAGTTTATGCCTTCATTTATAAAATGGAACACTAATATCTTCCTCAGAATTATTGTGAATAAACAAAGACAAACCTTCCAGGGCTGGCTCTGTAGCCTGGTAGTTGAGGCACTAGATCCCACATGTCCGACCATGTGATTCAAGTCTCAGACCTGGCAGTTTGAGAAACATGCTGGGTGCATGTGTGTGAGTGGCCAAAATCCGAAAAGAAAGGAGAGATGGAAGAAAAGTGATTTTAGCGTGACCATGCCTGTTGGGGGGGGGGGTAGGGTGGAGAGTCTGTGTGCACTTTCTCCTTTCCCTCTCTGTCTCTCTGGCTAGTGCCTGTGTTCTCTAGCAAAATAAACAACAAAAATAACAAACTTTTTAAAGTGCCTAATAGTATCCTTGAAATATAGCAGTGTTTTATTTTTGTTATTAACAATGGGAATAATAAGTCAGTGGCTCATTTCTTAAAGTTGAGTTTTAAATCTAAGGTGATAAAAGAACAATCCATACTTATAAAGTCCTTAATATAAAATAACCTTGTATTAAGATTTAAAAACCTTTATTAGCATCTTTGTATTATTTAACTGATACAAGAAGTAGCAGGGCATTTCCAAACAGGTCAGAGCAGATGGGGTTTAAGTGAAGGTATTTCTAAGGGACATAGACTTGATGGCTCCAAATTAAATAAATATACTTGGATATTTAGTGACTGACATATACTGTTATATCTCTATATTGATTTAGATATGCTTCGTTTTTCTACAGGTATCACGACATGCCAGATGTCATTGACTTCCTTGTGCTACATCAGTTTTATAATGAAGCCAAAGAAAGGAACTGGCAGATTGGTAAATACAGAGTTGTCATTTAGTAACTATTGAGTTCCAAGTAGAGTAAGTAATGTTTTAGCTGATTTAACAGAAAGAAACTATTTTACCATTTAGCTGGAAAAGACTGTCAGCTAAACTGAAAAATTAATTTTAAATTCAGTGATGTTTAGGTAATTTTATGCACATTCTATGTAACATATAATCTCCAGACCTTTTGCAAATACCAATTCCTTTAGTATACAAATATGAACAAAAAGAAAATTCTCAATGGCCAATGGTCTTAATGGACTCTTAAACAGACCATTACTGGTTGTGGTTTCCTCGTTTCCTCCCTCCCTTCCTCCCTCCCCTTTTCTCTCTTTCATTTTCTTTCTCTCTGTGTCTGTCTCTTTTTCCCTGTCCTCTTTCTCTGATTATAAAAAGGAGTATAACAATAATGTGAAGGAACAGTTTAAAAAATATGCTCATAGCTCTATAATCATATGTCACATAGAATTTTAAAACTACTAACAATTTTTGCATTTACTTATACATGGCTAGATTTTTAAGATATGTTTTTAGTCATAACAGATACATAATTTTGGGAGATGAGGCTTTTCAGCCTGACTTGGAATTCTGGCTTTCTCACTTATAAGCTATTTGGTCTTGGGCAAGTTTTTAATCCTCTCTGTGATTTACTTTCATTATCTTTAAAATGAGAATCAGGGCCAGCAGGTGGCACAGAGATTAAGGTAGCTGGATTCCACATGGCCGACTGTTCAGTTGAGTCCTGGACTCAGTGCCCTGAAAAATACGCTGAGTGCATATGTACCCTAAATCCCTAGAGGAGAGTGGAGGATGGCATGACCACCCCCGAGGGGGTGATTTCTCACTTTGCCTCTCTCTATTTCTTTTTCTCTTTGGAAACACATGCACACAATAGAAAAAAATAAAACAAAACAAAATATACCAATATATACCTTTAAGATTGACATGCATAGTAAATGAGTTTATATATATATATATGTGTGTATATATATATATATTTAGTTCTCTTTTTATTTCATTTTCTTTTATACCTTCAATCACATTATTTATCTTACAAAGTGAATATTTTAATATGGGATCGTCAGCACTTATAATAGTATCTGGTACATAGTAAATACTATATAAATATTTAAAATGCTTCTTTACGTATTAGAAATACTTTTTTGGTTTTGTAATCCTTAGCCATTTAAAGACAGAAAACTAGTATGAAAGAATAATATATAAAGGCAAAAAGCTAAAAGCAGAAAATAAGGAAACAAGACACAGCTGCATTAATATACATGCAGTACAATAAGAGATATGCTTAAGGATCTCAGAAAATTGGTAAAAATTAGATTATGTTTGATAACATTTAAGAAAATGTGTGATTTATTTCAGAAAGATTTCTAGCCCTTGGAAATCAAATTACTTATCTTGAAAGCTCAGATTGAAACTTCTGATATTGAAGATAAAATGCTGCTTCTGTATTCAACAAAAAGTAGCAATTTTGGAGTAGGAACAGAGCTAAAATTCTCAAGAATGTTCTTTTATGATTTTTTTAAAACATTGTAGGTGATAGATTCCGGAGTATAATAGATGATGCCTGGTGGTTTGGGACGGTGGAAAGTCAGCAGCCGTTTCAACCAGAGTATCCTGATAGTTCTTTCCAGTGTTACAGTGTTCAGTAAGTACAATTATGGTCTTTTATTCCTGATATAATACTGTACTAGTATATGGACTTTAAATAAACTCTACCAAGAAATAGTACTTTTTTTAAAGTGACTTAGCTAGTTCATAACATCTGTACCAATAAGAAAGTAACCAGAAGTGTCTATAAAGAAGGAATTGTAGTACCTGCAAGGAAGGAATTAAATTGGTGATAAACCTTTTCATTCAACATGTATGCTAAAACAAAGCAAGAACTGAAGACTTATTTCTACTTCCCTTATGTCTGCATTTTCTCTTAAATATTTCTGTTTTAGATAACAACTGCAACTGTTAATATTTTTTCAAGGAGAATACTAATGTTAATTTAGTGTTTAAAGTAATTGGTAAAGCTAGAGTAGAGCAGTGACTATTGGTTTTTAATAGAATGAATTCTAGGCAGAAGTGATTGTTACATTTGGAAGTAGTATTTGTTTACAAAATTTACTTTAATTCTTGAAATTCCCATATACTCCATGGAATACTGTTCAACCATAAAAAAAAAAAAAGAAAAGAAAACAAGACCCTGTCATTTGATACAAAGTGGATGAATATGGAAAATTGATTGCTGAGTGAAGCAAGTCAAGGCTATGAGAGACATCGTACGTCTCCATTTAACATGTACTGACTGTTGGCACTCCATAGTAGAGACTGAAAGACTGGAGAACACAAAAGCATTGACAAAAGTTATGGACACTGGAGATGTGGAAGGAGGGTGAGGGAGGAAGAGTGTATGGAAGGAAATTAGGAAGAAAAAAATGGAAAAGTAAGACATTTGTAGGACACAGATATGGTTTATTACCTGGTGATGATGATGTGTATAGTATTCTCAACTGGACTGGTCTGAGGTATATTTCATGTTGGGTAAATTCTCTACACAAGCTAAATGATATATGTGCCATTATATGTATAAATAATAATAATAAATCATAAAAACATGGAAAAAAAGAAACCCCCTTTTTATAAGGTTACTAATGATTGAAGCTTCTCAAGAATGATAGTTTTAATGTTTATTCTGTAAGAATATACCTATAGTCTCCACGTTGCAGAACAAGAGGGAATAATAAAATTTTGTAGATATTATTATCTTAATATTTAAGCTCTTTGAATAAAGTAGACCACTTTACAGAAAGAAGTGATTAAATCAAGTCTTTTCACCTGAAAGATATTTCCTAAAGAGATCTTTATTTTCTTCTGCCCTGCTGTATTATTGAATATATGCCTCACTAGAATAAAAAGTAAAGTAAAACTAAGAGTAGGCTTAATCCCCTTTAAGTTTCATATTGATGGTCTATCGTTTCTCTATTGGAGGTTTATTTATTTATCTTTATGTCTGCAGAGTTGTACTTAAAGAAAACTGAATTGCCCTTTTTAAAATTTAACCCCCAAGAAGTCATGCAAATTCTGCAGTATAAGAAAGTAAATACTACGTGAATTTGATTTGAATCTTGTCTTCTTTTTAATAGCTGGGACAATAATGAGAGAGAAAAGATGAGCCCTTGGGATATGGAGCCAATTCCAGAAGGAAGTAAATATGCTTTGAAAAAATGAATTGTACTTATTTTAAATGTAAAATGGCATTGGAAACTAATTGTTTTTTATTTTTCATCTTATACCTAGCTGCTTTTCCAGATGAAGTTGGTGCTGGTGTTCCTGTGTCCCAGGAGGAACTAACTGCTTTGCTATACAAACCCCAGGAAGGAGAGTGGGGAGCTCATTCCAGAGATGAAGAATGTGAACGGGTTATTCAGGGCATCAACCACCTTCTTTCCCTGGGTACGAAGAATGTGACAAAATACTAAGAGGATTGAAGGGAGCTAGGAAAACCAACAGAATTTTGAGTTCTACGAAAGGAAATTGTTGGACCTGCTGATGGTGAACAGTTCCTGAGTTGGGGTGCAAGGATTAAAGAAAAGACAAGAAGACAGGATGGAAACGGGAGGACTGCCAGTCAATACTGGTCAGCCCCAAATGTACTTTATCGCTAGTATTTATACACACTCCAGAGACTTCTGTTATGTAAGGTTTTTTTCCTTACTGAATTTATCAGGTTGTTATAACAATACTTTGGAACATTCAGTTCAAAACAACCCCAAGACATTCTGCTCATAACAGTCCAGCCACCCAAAGGCCACGTCCGGAAAAAGACCCTGGTCTTATTCTGGTGGTCATGTCTTACACATTCCTCACATCTCCTCTTTGGCTCCCCATAGGAAATAAAATTTCCTGTGTATACTTCACTTTTAGCGTAAAAAGCACAGTGATTCTAGTTTTAATATTAACATTTTTGTATGTTGGGTCAAAGTTACAGGTGATAAACATTCTAGACACTCTGGGAACTAATAGTGAGGGCAGACATAAGTGTCTTTATATTTACATAGTTAGATAATCATTGTTTTAGAAATGTAGTATTTCATCCTTTCTTTTTTTTTAACATGAAATTTTAATGTCCTCTATCACTGTCTGTTTTTATTTTATAGATTTTGCCAGCCCTTTTGCTGTTCCAGTCGATCTCAGTGCCTACCCCTTGTATTGTACTGTAGTTGCTTATCCAACTGACCTCAACACCATCAGGCGAAGACTTGAAAATCGCTTTTACAGGTCTCTTTAGTTTTATCATTTGTTATAGGCGTGTGCATTCTCCAGAAAGACAGAGAGAGACAGAGAGACAGAAAGCAAGAAATCACTTTAGGGGGGATGGCCACGCCACAATCTCTTCTCTTCCATTCTCCTCTCGGGATCTTGGGCACGCACGCACAGGTGCCCGGCGTGAGTTTAAGCCACCGGATCTGGGACTCGAACCACGGTCGACTACATGGGAGTCCAGTGACATAGCCATTATGCTAACTGCTGGTCCCTCGTTTTATCATTTATTATAAAATGCACAACTTTATGGTGTTTGTTTTCCTTTGGACGTCTGTGTTTTCGTAGTATGAAGTGATCCTTCAAACGACCCACCCCAAAAATCTTAGTAAAAACTTAGAACACAAATTTTCTTTTATTCAGTAGATTCTTACTCTTCCAGGGCAAATGGGGGTAAAAGAAAGACAGAGAGGAAAATATGGGTGTACAAATGGTATATGAAACCAAAACTAGAGTTAACTTTAGTTTATTAATGCCAAATTAGGTAGTTTGTGGCTTCATCATGATTTAGATGTTACAGAGATTAAGAGCATGTTTAACTCCTCTGTTGAGAAATTATGCAGCAGTTAATTAGATTTAATTTCCAACCCTGAAATGTTATAGGAAAAGAGCCAGGTTAATTTTTCCTTGATTTTGGTTGGGAGAAAGGGGGTTGATGATAGGAATGCTATGGAAGGCAGGTCTTAGTTTCTCTTTCATCCAAGCTATACCCTAACCAAAGAACTGGTTAGTTTGTTTCTTGTAGTTGAAAATTGGATGTATTTTTTACAACATGACACATTAGTTTATTCAATAATAAAAAAAATCACAAAAACTAAATAGAAATCTGTCATTTTCTACAATCTGACCTTTTTTTTCTTGTTCTTCTTGGCTCCTCCCCTGAATACAAAACATTCTTTTGACTTTATCAAAATACTTTTTTTGTTTGGGACTGGTCTTTAGCACAGTGGCTAATATCTGTGCATTGGGAGCTGAGTCTTACATGACCAACCATTGTTTGAATCCTGGCCCTGGTGACTTGAAAAATATATTGAGTGCGTGTGTGTGCCCGAAATTCTGACAGGATAGAAAATGGGAAAAGGAACTGTGGCATGACCACATCTATTGCAGTATGTTTCTTCCTCTCTCAGCTCTCTCGCTCATTGACAAGTGCACATATCCTACTGGCACTGAAAAAAATACTTTGTTGTTTATTTCTTTGTTTTGTTTTGTTTTTAAATCACTCTTTACCCATATTACCCAGGGTCAGTTCTATTCCAATTTTTAAAGAATTATTTAGTTTATTTAATTAATTTACTTGTTTTTAATTTGACCAGAGAGAGACAGAGAAAAGAAGGTGAAAAGCAATCCTTCAGGTCTGCAACTGCAGTCGGCTGTGTGGGAGTTCAGTGCCCTAACCATGACACCACCCTATTCCAGATTTTACCATGTAGTCCAGAGGTTCAACATGATTGCCTGTGCTTCAAATACTGTTACTACACCACCCATTTAAAAAAAAAATTTTTTTGATAGAGCATGTGTGCTTGGCAGAGAGAGAGAGAGAGACAGTGAGAGGGAAAGTAAGAAAGCACGTCCCAGAGGGAATAACTACTCTCCAATCCCATTTCCTCCATTCTTCTAATGACATTTTCGGCGCACATACATGCGTGCCTATTGTGATTTTCAAGCCGCCAGGTCCAGGACTTGAACCGTGGTCGGCTGTTTGAGACTCCAGCACCTTAACCACCATCTGCTGGTTCCAACTATATCACATGTGATGATTAAGTACCTAGTAGTTCTATATTGCATATTTCTAGAATATACTTTAAATGTATCAGCCAAGGCTAACAGAGAATTTTTTTTAATAGGAGAATATCAGCGTTAATGTGGGAGGTACGTTACATTGAGCATAATGCCAGGACTTTCAATGAGCCAGACAGTCCTATAGTTAAAGCAGCCAAAATTGTAACAGATGTCTTACTTCGATTTATTGGGTAAGAAATAGTTTTATTTTCCAAAGAGGCTAACTTCTAATTTTAAAAAATTATCTAAATGTATTTTGACTTATTTTGCTTCTTAGGGATCAGAGTTGTACTGATATACTGGATACTTATAATAAAGTTAAAGCAGAAGAACTAAACAGTACTGATGCAGAGGAGGTAAGAATCACAGCTTAATTAGCAGAAATAAATTCCTTTTCTGTTATTTGAATTACAGTGAATATTATGTGTAAATGTTGTATTTGGCTATGAGCAATGAAACAGATTTTTGAAAGCTGACTGTAATATCTGCATCTTTTTATTTTAAACCACTTTAACCTGTACTTAGAATGGCAAATATCCAATGTTGTTTTTTATTCTTTCAAAAAATCTATCTGACTATAAAATGTTACAAATATTAATAGAGTTAAATTTTATTTACATAATAGTAAGGAAAATAGGATTCACAAAGTAGATACTAGTCTCTTGAATCCTTTTTCCTCCTAGTCTCCCTCTTTTGGGATTTTTTATATTCATACACACACGCACAATGTGTTTTTCAAGATACCAGATCTGAGGCTGGAACTGCATGGTCTGCCATGTGGGATTCAGCCACTAGGCCATGGGCTGACCCCATAAATGCATTTTAACTCAGGATTTGATGTAGCAAGAATTTCTTCTCAGAGTAGCATTATTTGGGTTAGAACAGAAAATTAAAGTAAAAATATAGTTCGTCAGCTTTATTTTATTAGAAAGGAGTACCAATAGCCCCAGAACCACTTATCTTTTCCCCTGGGTATTTCCTAGATGTGTCATCATCACTGGTGGTGCCTAGGCCTTTATTCTTTGTATTATAAAACTATCCCTTAGAGAGAGACTTAATTGTATCTTAGATTATAATGCACATTTATATTTTCCCTATGGAAAAGAGATCTATTTTATGAAATAGCAAATGATTAATAATGAGTAATTCATAATAATAATAAGTGAGCATGGCATAATACTAACTCTTGCTTGGCCACAACTTTAGTAGATAGCAGTTACTATACCTTTACCCTCCTTTCTTATTCTGATATAAAGAGAAATCTTACATAACTCTTCTTCTCTCAGTATGTTTTCCATCTTTTACAAGCATGTTGCATAGCATATTGATAAAATTTGGAGTTAGTCTTTAGCCTTTGTCTTGCTGCCTGTTCCAGTGAGGGAAAATTGTAGGGGTGTTTTGTCATTGATTTGTAAAGGTCTATCAAACTGGTAAGACTATGAATATAACTTAACATCTCTCACTCTCCTTTTAATTTAGGATACAGAAATGGTTGACTTAGATTCAGATGGTCCTGGTACTTCATCTGGAAGAAGGGTAAGTAAATAAGTGAACTGCTAAAAAGAAACATTTTCAAGCTTCCCCTCTTGAAGACTCCTAAGACTAACCTCATGTTTGGAGAGTTGCTAAAAAGACTCTTGGCATGAAGACTTATTGTAATAAGGCTTATTATAGCAACATAATGAAGATACATAGCTAGGTCATAAGGAAAAAGACATAGGCAGAATCCAGAGGATTCCATGTATAGGCTTCCTTATGTTCTCTCTCCTATGAGAGAGATATAAAAATATAGCAATATGTGAGTGATGAGAGACAATCCTGAAGGATTTTGTTGAGGGGCTGGTTATGTAGGTACTTTCTGACTAGCACATACCAAGATTATAGACTCACAGAAGAAAAGCAGGCATTCAGCACAAATCACATTGTCTTGTCTAAGTACAGTAAAATACCTTCATGATTTAGGAAACAGTTTCTGTGCCAAGTTCCTAAATGTCAGCCAAAGCTAACCTTGCAAAAAAAGTTCTGCTAAAAGATAGAAATTTGGGCCTGTAATGTTAATGCTTTTCTGCATATTTCCCTACTATGCTAGACAATTATACAGTTGTTCTATATAAGGGATGATACTCTTTGAAATACTGAAGGAAATCATAACAAAAGGCATCACATGGGAAATACCAGAATTTATATCACCATAACCATAAAGGATTTACTTTAAAAACAAATAAACAAGCAAACAGAAAAAACAATTGGAGCAACCAGTGTTGTGGTAGGAGGGTGTGATAGTTAAGGTAGCTGAATCTCATACGGTCCACTGCATAGTTCCTGGACCTGATAGCTTGAAAAGCATGCCAGGCACATATGCATGTGTGCCCAAAATCTTGAGAGTGGAGGAAAAGGAATGCAATGTGGCCACCCCTCCATGGGGAGAGTGTGCTTTCTCACTTACTTTCTGTGTGTGTGTGTGTGTCTGTCTAGCGAGTGAATGTACCCTAAACAAATTAAAAGAAAAATTGTTCAAATGGTGCATTGAGAAAATTTCAGTGCCATTACCAAGTACTTAACCACTGACAAATATTAAAGCAATATAGCTATTAACTTTGTAGAGGAAAAAAGTATTATTCCTCTGTTCTTTATTTGAGGCTGAACTTTTCTTAAAATAATATCAGAATACGAGAATTATTGCTATTTCCCTGAATGTAATGTCTAGTTGTTTGTTTATTTATTTTTTTGCCAGGGAACATGAAGTATAATTTAAATTAAGAAATTTAAATAGCAACTGCTCTATCTTACACAGATATTGACATTAGGGAGGCATGAGAAAAATCAATGAGTAGTAAAAGAAAGCTTTTATATATAATTTTATTAAAATCTATAGGTTAAATACAGAGGCAGAAGACAGTCCTTAAAGTGTAATCCTGATGCATGGAAAAAGCAGTGCAAAGAATTGTTGAGCCTTATTTATGAACGTGAAGATTCAGAGCCATTTCGACAGCCAGCTGATCCTCTTTCTTACCCAGTAAGCATACAGTTGTGTAAAGAATTGCCAATATAGCAGTTTCCTACAAATGTCCATGGTAAAAATCTAGTTAAAATATAATTTCTCCCCTCTTTCCATCTATCCATCTATTCATGATTCAATTATAAAAGTGAGTCATATGATTAGTCATGACTTTATAAAATTTCTGTCATGGGCTGACCCCATAGCCTAATGGTTAAGGAGCCAAATCCCATATGCCCAACAGTTTGACTCCCAACTGGGGCAGCTTGAGAAAGTTGCCAGGCACATTTACATGCTGCCCCAAATCCTGAAAAGATGGACACATGAAGGAAAAAGAGTTGTGGTATGACCATACCCCATTGGGAAGGGACTCTCTCTCTTGGTCTGTCTCTCTGGCAGGCACACACACAGCTCTGATAATGAAAAAGAAAATGCCTGTCATGTACTTAGTGTATAACTTACACAGTTGTAAGCCAAACTTAAGTCAAAATTTCTTTGCCATTCTTCCTGTTTTTATTTTAGATATTTAATACATTTTACTACCTTATAGTAACATTTCTGTACTTTGTAGACATTTGGTATATATCAGTTTTTCGATTGTCAGAAAAGTCATGGTGCATTTTTCCATAGAAAACATGACTTTTTCAATGACTTAATATATTTAATTTAAACTAAATATCTTATCAGTGTGGTCACCTAGAGTAATCAATATGCCAATATTATTTTTCTTTTCAACGAAGATATAAGCATAAAAACTTAGATTATCAGATTGTTTCCTAGGAGGCTATCTGTTGATATAAATGTTGAATTACCTTTAATATAGATAGCAAATCCACTTTAACTCCTTTCAGAAGAAAAATACAGTAACATTTCAGAAATACAGAAGACCATTATCTGAACTTAGTATACATCAGTATTCTTTGTATATACAGATTTCAGTTGGGTAAAAGTGTCATTCAAATAAGAAATAGAATTATGTTCAACAGAGCTTGTTTTGTTTTAAGGAGTATAGGTAGAATTAGTCTTGTGATTTTATGTTTTTATATGGCAGAGAAGATAGATGCATATAGAATTTCTTCAACTTAAAGTACAGCCAGTGAAACTATAATTCCCAGGCTAGCCAGCAGTGCAACTGTAACACAATATTCTATGGTATTGGACCTACAAGAGAAGATTCCAAGTTCATGACTCCAATGCCTCCCTATAATTACACATGTCTGTAATCCAGGCTGGCTGAGACTGGGGATGGATCACAGTGTGAAGACCATGTTGTGGTGCCCCGCCCCTCCCTTTCTCCCTCATTCTTTCATATCTTCCCTCTTTCTCCATTACTCCTTCCCTCTTGCCCAAACAAAAAAAATAAACTTAAAAAACATAATTTCTAATTATAAATTTTGAGCCTTAAATCATAACTGTATTACAAGTTTTGACATTTTGTTTTGGAGGCTCAGAAACAATATGCACTCTTTACCCTAATAGGGAGGACATCATGAACAAGAGGGAGACTCCTCAGAGTCAGCTGTTCCAGAAAGACAAGATCCCTCCCTTTCTGAGGTAGGTGTTTAGTTTCTTAAAGAACTTATATTGGTTAATTTTAGGCTTTTACTTTAAAAATTTATCTTCATACCCTGATGAACCTTTTGTAAGTCATACAAGTCACTAAAACTGCCTTCTCACTCTGCTCACTTTCATTTTACCTTTGTTCAATTTCTTTGGTCTGTTTTTTGTTGTTGTTGTTGTCGTTTTTTAACATTAACATGTATTCTCAATGTTCTTTGTAGCATCCATGTATATGTTTATTTGTTTATGTAGATCTAAAGTTACTGCGTCAGAATGGAAAGCATCGATTACACAATATGTTTGTGTCTGTATTGCAGCTGATTATTCCCACTGGGACTTCGTTCAATAGGTTGGGTGGGTCTTTTGAGTTTTGGTCATCAAACTACACAAGTATTAATATTTTTTCTTTACAAAAATCATAGTGTTTCATAAGCTATACTGTATTGAAATACACTTTGGTTTTTTTATGATGTAAGAAAATAAGATACATTACAGTAATTATGGTTTCTCATGCTTTGAAATAATTTTCTCTCTTTAAAATATCTTTACTCTGCCCTTTCTTTTGGCTCTTTGACTTTCTCCTTTGAGGGAAATGCAAAGATTTTACTTCTTAATGATTTAAACAGGGTAAAAGAGCTAATATGGATTATGGTTTTTCACTCTGATATTTATTGAGGGTCATAATGTACATTGGTATAAATTTCAGATATAGTTCCATATACTAACCCTAGGATAATCTTGACTTGAAAGATTTAGGCTAAAATGGAACCTTCCCTCCTCTCTAATCAAAATCAATCTAATTTGAAGCGATGAGACTGAAGACCCTAGGTAAAGCAAAAGTATCACACTGATTTAAAAAAAAAAATAAAGGTGGGGGAAGGAAACAAACATGACCAATTAGTCGTAACTGGGGATCTAGAAACCAGATCCCTTCAGTATTATTTGTAGTTACTGACTTTAGTTGAGGGCTCAGGCCTTTCCACTAATCTCTGCTATTTTCCTGGGCCACCAAAAGATGATTCAGGATGGAGAGAAGATAGATGATGGCTTGAAAAGCAGTATGTTTATTTCGTGGTGGATTGCATCAGTAGGAGATGCAAATCTCCATACCGTTGTATTATTTAGTATTGTTATGCTTTGGGGGTATTTAATGACACATTCTTCTTTGTAGGATTATCAAGATGTCATAGACACTCCTATGGACTTCAGCACTGTGAAAGAAACATTGGAATCAGGAAACTATGGTAGCCCTCTGGAATTTTATAAGGATGTTCGCCAAATATTCAGCAACTCCAAAGCTTATACCTCTAATAAAAAATCCAGGGTATGAAAAATAATATTAATTAATTATTTAAGCATTTAGTGATCTATATCAGGCAGTTTTCTTTTACCAGTTTCAAAATTGCTAAACAAGTGTACACTACAATTCTTTTTTTTTTTTTGGAGAGATTTTCGCTATAGGGCACGTGCGCTCACCAGAGAGACATAGAGACAGAAAGCGAGAAATCACCCCCCAGGGGGCATGGTCACGCTGCACTCCCTTCTCCTCAATTCTCCTCTCAGGATCTTGGGCACACACGCATGCACACGCTCCCAGCATGAGTTTTAAGCCACCGGGTCCGAGACGCGAACCGCGGTTGACTACATGGGAGTCCAGCGACATAGCCATTATGCTAACTGCTGGTTCCCATGTACACTGCAATTCTAACATAGTTACTAAAGTTTGATTCTCATTATGTTTTGTGAAATATGGATTATTTATTAGTCATGCAAAAAAATACACTTGGTATAGTGATTCTGAAATTAAGCATGTTTTCCTTTCTTTTATCTGCCTCTGCTTTGTTATTTTTATCCTTTTCAGTTTTTTATATTTTTTTAAACATTCAATCACTGTACATAATTTGGCTTGTAAAGAGAATTTACCTAACATGAAATACTTCTCAGACCAGTCCAGTTGAAAATACTCTTTAGTAATATGTATATTTGCCAGAAAGAAGACAAGAAAAGGAGAGATAGTAATTTGAGAATCCTTTGATATGTCCAATAAATGACTTGATAAATGTAAAGGAGGTTGGCAGTATTAATTTTTTTTGAGAGTTTTTTTTGCTATAGGGCTCGTGCGCTCACCAGAAAGACAGAAAGACAGAGAGACAGAAAGCAAGAAATCACTCCCTCAGGGGATGGCCATGCTGCAATCCTTTCTTGTCCATTCTCCTCTTGGGATCCTGGGCACGCACGCACAAGCGCCTAGCGTGAGTTTAAGCCACCAGGTCTAGGACTCAAACTGCAGTCAACTACATGGGAGTCCAGCAACATAGCCATTACACCAGGTCCCGATAGTATTAATTTTTTTATGAAATATTTTTACTAGCTCTGAGTATTTATGTTCCTTTTATTATAACAAATAGTGGACAGTATTGAGAGTTATAACTGTTTAATCACATATTTAATATTTCCCTTATGTTTTAACAGAACTTGAAATATCTTGAGAACAAAAAACAGTAATTTTTGACTTTTGGAGTCACTGGTATCTAATTGACTTTTAAATACTTTTTGCCCATTTCCACCTTATATAAAATTAGTTCTCACTGATTTCTGCAGGCATAGTTTTTACACATTTGGATTTTCCACCTTGATCCTGATTATTAGAGTACCATAGTCTCTATAAAAAGTTTGGGAAATATATAAAAGTATAAAGAAGAAAACAGGGCCAGCCAGTGATGTGGTAGTTAGGTGGTAGGTTCTTACATGGTCAACTATACAGTTCAAGTCCCAGACTTGGCAGCTTGAGAACCATGCCAAGCATATATGTACACCCAAAAATCCTGAGAGGCGAATAGAGGAAAAGGAGTTGCAATGTGGCCAACGCCTCTGGGGAATGCTTTTTGCTCTTTTATTTGTTATTTTTTTCAGAGAGATTTTTTGCTATAGAGCATGTGCTGTCATTAAGTAGTTTGCTAGAGTGACAGAGAGACAGAAAATGAGAAATCACCCCTAGCGGAATGGCCACACCACAGTCCCTTGTCCTCCTTTATCTTGGGATTTTGGGCATGCATGCACACACACCCAATGTGAGTTTTAAGCTGCCAGGTCCAGGACTTGAACTATGTTTGGCTATGTGGGAGTCCAGTAACATAACCAGTAAGCCATCTACTGTTCCCAGAGAATGCTTTTTGACTTTGCCTCTCTATATATATCTCTCTCTGACAAGTTCATGTGCCCTATAGCAAAATAAAAACAAAAAAGTAAAAAATAAATTTGGACAAAAGTCAAACACATAAAGCCTATTTTATTTATGGTTCATATTTAATGTAAATGCTTCCAGAGTTTTTACATATTAACATATATGAGGAGGTCTTCAAAAAGTTCCTAAAAGATGTGTATTAGGAGAAAACTATACATGGATTTCAGAATTTTTTACACTGAAATAAACTCGTATTTTAACTCCCATTTTCCACAAACTTTTTGAAGTCTCCATGTATATTTACATGTGTTTGTGTGTACATATATATTGGGTCGTTGGAAAAGTCATGACACATTTTTGCATAGGAAAACTTGGGGGGGCAGTCGGTGGTGTAGTGGTTAAGGTGCTAAATTTATACATGGTGGACTGCAGTTCAAGTCCCAGACCTGGTGACTTGAAACACAGGGTGCATGTGTGTGTGCCCAAAATCCTGAGAGGAGAATGGAGGAAAAGAGATTGTAGCTTGGTCATCCACCTTGGGAGGTGATTTCTCTCTCTCTCTCTCTCTCTCTCTCTCTCTCTCTATCTATCTTTCTGGGGAGTTCACGTACTCTATAGCAAAAATCTTTTAAAAAAAATTCCTTAGGGTAATGTATAAGAGTCTTGTTTTCCTACTCTTCACAACATTAAATATTGTCTTTTAAAAATACGGATTTTGGGTAAGTAAGTGGTGTGGAGGTTAAGGCAGCTAGATCCCACATGGCCAGCTTTGTGGTTCTAATCTTGGACCTGGCCGCTTGAAAAATCATACTGGGTGTGCGTGTGTGTGTGCCCAAAATTCCTGAAGAAGAAGGGATTGCAGTGTGGCCATCCCCCTCGGGGGATGATTTCTCACTTTCCCTTTCTCTCTTTCTCTCTCTGTCTTTCTCCTGAGACCACACACATAGGGAAAAAAAAATAAAAAATAAATAAGGATTTTAAGATGAAAATGGTACCTTATTTTAATTTTTCAAGAGTTTCAAGTGAATAAATTTTACATATATTTTGACTGGAATAATGATGCTAGTACTCGTCGAGACATGTTTGTCACTTTTTTTAATATGTAATTGAAGTATCTGGTATAAACTATAATTTCTACCTTTTTAGATTTATAGCATGACACTGCGACTATCTGCCTTATTTGAAAGTCATATTAAAAATATCATCTCGGAATATAAGTCAGCAATCCAGAGTCAGAAGAGGAGAAGACCACGGTACAGAAAACGTCTGAGAAGCAGCAGCAGTTCATTATCTAGTAGCAGAGCTCCTAGGTATATTGTATTGATGCAGCATTTCATGTTTCTCAAAGAAGTTTTTATGCTTTATCTTATTTCTGAAAATTTATGAATAGTTTGAAGAACTTTCAGAAGTTTATTTTTTTCAGAATGTTGTATCAATGTAAAGATGGAATTAGTAAGCAAAAGCATTGTTTATGTGTATTTTACCACACAGAATTTTTTTTTATTTTAATGGTTGAAGTTTAACTTTGTCAGATTACCAACTTGAAGCATTGCATTTTTTATTACAATTTTTAGTTAACATATATTAATTGTACATATTTATGAAGTACAGAGTGGTTTTTCAGAACATGTAAACATTGTGTAATGATCAAAACAAAGTTTTATAATTACATATACCATCTTAAACATTTATCATTACTTTATGTTTTGTACATTGGAAAACTTCTAGCTATTTTAAAAGTATACATTGAATTATCATAGACTCCATTGGCTATAATATTCCAACCAGGAATATGTCATTTCCTCTTTGGTCATCTTAAGGATCTCATAGCATACTGTCTATCATAATATATTGTTAATAGGAAAAAAAAGTATGCTCATTGTTATTTATTTTTACTTACAGTCCAAAAGGGAAACAGAAACAAGTGAAGTTGCAGCCTAAAAATGACCAGAATACCTCAGTGTCTTATGCCAGGACTAGCTCTCCTTTCTCATCTCCTGGTAAATGTGTCTTCTTTTGTTGGTGTTCTGTATCTAAGTTTAATACTGATATTAAGGTTATTGAAGAGGCATCATGATTTATAATGCAAAAAAAAACAATGAATTTGGATTTATAGCTATGTTTTATTTCTGATTCTGCTTGTTAGACATGTGCCCCTGGATAAGATATTATGCCATATAGTCAGTTTCTTCGTTAGACTAGATGAATTTTAATGTCATCTTAAATTATAATGTTCTGCAACTGTATGATTTTTCAATGTCTACAATATTTCAGAGCACTATACAATACACCTGTAAACATAACATTTGAGGATTCATTATATTGAATAATGTAGAAGTGGGTTCCTTGAACAAGTCTTTCTAACATTTTGTTCTTAAAAGTTAAGTTATGATAAATTATTAGTTCTCAAAATATTCACATTTCCTTCTTAGAACAACTTGTAATTTTGATGTTAGTGAAAAAGAACAGATATACAGTTTTAATGGCAGCCTGTTTAACTTTCCTGAAATCATGCTATTATGTTAACATTACAATCTTTTAAAATGCAAGTTTCAGATGCTGCTGAAGGGCTTTCACTATATATTCTTGATGATGAACTGGATGGGCCATTTTCTTCATCTAGCTTCGGTGGGCATAGTCGAAGTGGAAATAATCATGACCCAGGCAAAGCCAAATCATTCCGGAATAGAGTTTTGCCAGTTAAGCAAGGTAGGAAATTAATATGGGGCCAAGTATTTATCCTTTATTTTATTATAATGGAAGAGGAATCATTTAAAAGCTGCTGTATTAAGGTAGCAAAAATTAGAATGTCCTTGTAGTTAATGAAAATTTTAATATTGTCAGATTTGAATAGGATATGGTTTTATATTCATAACTAGGAACAGACTTCCAATAACTATTTTCAAAAAATTTTAGACTTTTAAAATATCGAATCATCGGAAAAGTCATGACTCATTTTCCATAGAAAAACAGAAAAATACATCATGACTTTTCGGGTGACCTAATAAATATAAAATGAATAGGGATAAAAAAAATCTAAATGATAAGTTTTTCCCCAAATACATAGAGCTTTGTATTTAGGAATTTAGGATTTTTCAGATATTGAACCATATTAATAAAAAATTTAAAAATTCCAGAGACCAGCAGTTGGTGTAATGGCTATGTTGCTGGATTCCCATGTAGTCGACCACGGTTTGAGTCACGGACCCAGTGGCTTAAACTCATGCCGGGTGCGTGTGCATGGGTGCCCAAGATCCTGAGAGTAGAATGAAGGAAAAGGGATTGCGGCGTGGCCATCCTCCCTGGGGGGTTGCCATCCTCCCTGGGTGGTGATTTCTTGCTTTCTGTCTCTCTGTCTCTGTCTTTCTGGCGAGCACACGAGCCCTATAGCAAAAAAACCTCTCCAAAAAACAAATTTTAAAATTCCAGTCATCCTTTATAAATAGATTTCATATTTATGTGGGTCACATCAGTTAAAAGGGGAAATATAAAGAGTTGAGAAATAAATCTTATTTCAGTCAATACCCACTTCTGCCACCTTCTTATAACTCAAATAGTCTCTTTTCTATGGCTTGCTGTACCACTAGAAGTGTCTTTCACCTAGTATCCTGCCCATTTCTGGGGTATCCACAGAGGTACTATGGGAACCAAAACTGCTCTGCTTTTTAAAAATTTCATATAATAAGCTTCTGTATAACTTTTTACTTAGAATAAAGATTTGACCTATCTAATCCATTATCACGTATGTTCATCTTGGACCATGTTAACAGCATTAGTTAATCATAAGTACTTGAAGGTTATTTTAACCTAATTTTTTCTTTTCTTTTTAAATTTTTACTATAGAGCATGTGTGTTCTCCAGAGAGAGAAAAAGAGAAAGAGAGTGAAAGTGAGAAATCACCCCTCAGAGAGGACAGCCATGCCACAATCCCTTCTCCTCCAGTCAGTCTCCTCTTGGGATTTTGGGCATGCACACATGTGTGCCTGGCAGGATTTTCAAACCACCAAGTCTGGGACTTGAACCAAGTAGTCAGCCGTGTGGGATCCAGTGCTGTTATTAACCTCTGTGTCACCTGATGGCCCAATATTTTTCTTTTTAAAAAAGTTTATTTCTTTCATGACTGAAAGAGATGGCACTTCCAACATTAACTTGATGCCACAGCCCACCTCCAGCCTTCAACCAGCTCTAGATCATGGGTTTTTGCATGTCCTGCATATGTAGGGAGGCCTCTGGACTTGAACTCGGAACCTTCTCATGTGGGATTGCCTTGCAGAGCATCATATTTTACCACTGTGCTATAGGGCCAGATATTCTTCTTAAATTTAGTATTGGTGTGGAACCTAAATATCTTTAAAGAAAATTCTAATATATTCAGTCATTTTTAATTTGTAAAGAATACCTAATAACCTTTTTTTTTAAGAGAGATTTTTTTTCCCCAGAGAGACAGAGAGAAGTAACCCCTCAGAGGGGATGGCCATACCGCAATCCCTTCTCCTCCATTCTTTCCAGATCTTGGGCATACACACACATATGCCCAGCATAAATTGTAAGCTGCCAGGTGTAGGACTCAAACTGTGGTTAATTATGTGGGAGTCCAGCGACATAACAATTATATCATCTGCTGGTCCCCCTAATATCCTTTTATAAATATTTTTAGTGGACTATAGATTTTATTTTATTTATATTTTAATAAATTATTATGTAGCTTATCCATTGTTATTTAAGTGACTTTCTAAAGATATTTTATATTCACTATCCAAGAAATATTGAAGCATATCTGATTTATTTAAAATACTTGTGCCTATATTTTTTCCAGTTTGTATCTTAATTCTCTCCTGCAATCCTGCTATACATTGTATACTCATGCCACTTCTGCTGTTGTTCTTGTTCTTGCTTTGACAGCCATGCTTTTAGAAAATGTAACATTTACTTCCTGCCTCTGCCTCTGTTTTCTTTCCATCCACACATTGCTTTATCCTTTGTAGTCTGGTTTCTGACCCAAACACTCTGCAAAGGTTTTATATTTGTCCTCTTTTTCTGTTATTTTCTTTGGCCTCACTTGCCCTTTGTTTGCACTTTGCCACTAGTTTTTGTTTTTGCCTTCTACAAGTAAAGAATTCTAGCAATGATATCAATTGTTTTAATTCCAATGACTTTCCAGGTGCATATATGTAACCCAAACTTTACTTTTTTTCCCTACTCATATCATTTTCAAGTGCTTCTTTAAAAAAAAATCATCTTTGCATTTTAAGCTTTCTTCTTTCTGTGTTTTTGTTAATGATGCGTGACTACCTTATTCACCAACTTAAAATCTTAAAAGTTTTCTTTGACTCTGTTTACCTTTCATATCCAGTCAGTTGTCAAGTTTTCCAAATTCTACCACTCCTTAATACCACTTAAATCTCTTATTTAAAGTTTCTATTGATATCACCTTAATCTCTAACCTAGTGTATTAGTCAGCTCAGGCCGCCATAAAGTGATACCACAGACTGGGTGACTTATGAAACAGATTCAGAGTTCTGGAGGATTGAAGCCCATAATCAAGGTCCCATGAGATCGATGCCTAACTAGGGCTTATTTTTTTTTTCTAACTTGTAGATGGCTATCTTCTGAGTGTGTCATCACATGGCCTTTTCTTTGTGTACAGAAAGCGATCCCTAGTGTCTCTTACTGTGAGGACATTAGTCCTATTATAGCCCCACTCTTGTGACTCATTTAACCTTATTAATTCCTTCCTTGAAGAACCTAATCTAGGGACCAGCAGTTAGCGTAATGACTATGTCGCTGGACTTCCACGTAGTCGACCGCGGTTCAAGTCCCGGACCTGGTGGCTTAAACTCACGCCGGGCGCGTGTGCATGCGTGCCCAAGATCCCGAGAGGAGAATGGAGAAGAAGGGATTGTGGCGTGGCCATCCCCCCTGGGGGTTGATTTCCTGATTACTGTCTCTCTATCTCTTTCTGTCTGTCTGGCGAGCGCACGTGCCCTATAGCAAAAACCTCTCCAAAAAAAGAGAAAAAAAAAAGGAAGAACCTAATCTACATGGGTCAGCAGGTGGCATTGTGGTTAAGGTGCTGGATCCCACAAGACCAGCTGCCTAAGTTAAGTCCTGGACCACTGGCTTGAAAAACATGCTAGGCATTTGTGTATGTGTGCCCCAAACCCCAAGAAGTTACTGGAGGAAAAGGGATTGTGATGTGGCCATTCCCCCCGAGGGCTGATTTTTCACTTTCCCTCTCTCTCTTTCTCTGTGGAGGGCATGTGTCCTATGACACCCCCACAAAGACCCTAATCTATAAATATAGTTATATTGGTTGGTTAGGGCTTCAACACATGTATTTACTGCATAACACCTAAATTATTTGATTAATAATTGTAATCACCATACAACCCTAGTCTTTTCTCCTTCCAGTCCTTCCACTCTTTCTAGTCCTCTTTCCTGATTTTTTTCCCTTTCTCACTGACTGGTCTTTCGCACTTATCCTTGCTGGTTCTTATTTTCTTTTTATGTTTATTTTATTCATGATAGAAAACACCTGTACATTTGTGTGAGAGAGAGAAGCACCCTTCAGATGGTCTTGTTACACCACAGTCCCCTTTCTCCAGCTCTCTCCATTGTCCGTGTCTTGGTCATACACATGTGTGCCCAGTGTGTTTCAGGTCCATTGGGATGGAAATCTGTTTCTGTGGAAAGCCATGTGGCTTCTAGCACTGTAATTCAATATATTGCCAACTCCCTAATAGAGGCTGGGCCTGGTGGTTCTTCTTTATCTTAAATGTTGGAACATCTCAGGCCTCTGTCATCAGCCACCACCTTTCTCTTTACTTGCTCTTTTAGTAATCTCCCCCAGTTCTCATGACCCTAAATATCTCTTTACTAAAGTTTTTCAAAATTTATCTCCAACTCCATCCTCTTCCCCTGAGCTCCAGATTCATATTCTCAGTCTGCTTTTAAAATTGTTATAATTTTTATAATGTCTTTCTTTAGATCTTTATTTGCAACTAAAAATGGAATGGTTTTCCTAGCAGCCTGCCCAAACATGTTTCTATTTTATTGTTCTCCAACTTGGAAAAATATCTCTACCACTCACAAGTTGTTCAGGCCATAAAACCTAGTAGTCAATACCCATTCTGTATTTAACACTTGACATCCAATCCACTTGACATCCAATCCATAAATAGTCCCACCAGTTCAACCATTAAAATTAAAGGTTGTTGTAATGGCTCCTGTGGAAGGAAGTATTCCAAATTGAATGACTTCTCATCGCCTTTCTTGGCACATCCCTCATCATGTTTCACCTAAACTGTTGGGCCATCAGAAAAGGCATGCCGTTTTTTTTTTTTTCTATGCAAAAATACAACATTACTTTTCAGATGACCCAGTACCACAGTGGACTCCCAGCTGGTCCCTGTTACCATCTTTACCTTTCTATAGTCTGTTCTCTGTACAGCAACCATAGTATTCTTTTAAAAATGTAAATGAGAACCTTCCTTTCTTTTAACTTAAGACCTTCTACTGGGTGTCACTTTTTACCATTCCTTGTTTTTCTGTTTTACTCTGGTTATACTATCTTTCTTTCTGTTTCCTCTGCTAGAATATTTTTTCCCAGGTATCACTTCATTCAATTCTTTCTTTATATCCTACTTCTACAGAGAAATTCTCCCTATCTAAAATACCCCTATACACATAGACACACAAACTTGTACTCTTTTTACCATTTTTTTTTATAATGTGTCACTACTTGAAAGCATATTATTTATTTACTATCTGTTGAGGTCTTCCCACTAAAATGTAAATACCAAGAGGAGGGACTTTATTTCATTTATTGTCATATTCCAAACTACTAACAATGCCTGTCTCATTGTAGGTAATCAGTAAATACTTGTCGAATAAATGAAACTCTTGTATTTCATGTTCCCAAATAATTTTTCCTAAAGTTCAGCACTTAAAATTCCTGCCTAAGGGGTCAACAGGTGATGTGGTAGTTAAGGCACTGGACTCCCACATGGCTGATCCAAGGTTCAAGTCCCAGACCTGGTAGTTTTAAAATCACACTGTTTATGTGTGTGTACACACTCAAAATCCCAGAAGGAGAATGGAGGAGAAGGGACTGTGGTGTGGCCATCCCCTCTGGGGAGTAACTTCTCATTTTGCCTTTCCAGCTAGTGCATGCCACCCTATGGCAAAAACCTCTAAAAAATTTCTACCTGGCTACCTCACCATCCATGTTCCAACCCCACATCTCTCCCCACCCCCATAGAATAAGTAGTCAGACAAAAACTTTAATATCTTCTATTTCTAATAAATATAAAGTTTTACTCCATTACCCAGTGTGATTTTATCCCATCTATCTTTGGGCACTAGGTATTTTTTGGATAAGCTGTTTATTTTACTTTGGAATCTGAATAACCATCTGATCAATGTCAAAGTTTAACTTTTAAAAATCATTCATTTTTATTTAGATCACTCTCTTGATGTACCCATTACAAATGGTGACGGCAGAGAGCATCGGACAGGAATCAAGAGAAAACTACTTAGTGCATCAGAAGAAGATGAAAGCATGGGAGGAGAAGAGAAAGAGAAAAAAGAAACAAAGGAGAAATCACACTTATCCTCCTCAGAAAGTGGAGGATTAGGATCCAGTTTAAGCTCTGAAAGTACTTGTGGTTCTGATTCTGACTCTGAATCAACTTCCAGAACAGATCAAGATTACGTGGATGGAGACCATGACTATAGCAAATTCATACAAACTAGACCTAAAAGAAAACTCAGAAAGCAGCATGCCAATGGAAAAAGAAACTGGAAGACAAGAGGCACAGGAGGAAGAGGCAGATGGGGAAGATGGGGTAGATGGAGTAGAGGAGGCAGAGGACGAGGAGGGAGAGGACGAGGTGGTCGAGGAAGAGGTGGGGGGGGCACTAGGGGGAGGGGGAGGGGGAGAGGGGGAGGTGGAAGAGGTGCTTCTAGAGGAGCGAGCAGAGCCAAACGAGCACGTATTGCAGATGATGAATTTGATACCATGTTTTCAGGACGTTTCAGTAGACTGCCTCGAATTAAAACAAGAAACCAAGGCAGGAGGACTGTTTTATATAATGATGATTCTGATAATGACAATTTTGTGTCCACTGAGGATCCTCTGAATCTTGGTACATCCAGATCAGGCAGAGTGCGTAAAATGACAGAAAAAGCCAGGGTTAGCCATCTCATGGGATGGAATTATTAACAGTTAATAAATTTAGAATAATTAAAAAAATTCAATGGCCTTCTACTGCAGGGAATTTACCAGGAAATCTACAAAGCAAGTTGTGTGGGGACTTCTGCTTCCTTTCACATTGGTGCTTTTCCATTATGCCAGTACACATTTGTTTCAAGACTTTTGATCTCCACACTTCATTTGTTCAAACAAGCCTTACTCATTAGGCCTTAAATTAAAAGAAATTCTGCCCACACACACACACACACACACACACACACACACAAAACACACCACAGACACACTACAGATATACATTAAAGGAGCATTCAGCTTCTTAAGAGTAGCATGACATTTTTATCTCAATGAAATATCCCTCTTTTGCTTTTGTATCACAGAAATATAGCACCTTCTTACAGAGTTTTATATAGTTTGTTTTTGCCATGTTGATTCCTATACCCAGTAATAATAACTTTTGCACAATACACCAATCCTAAAGGCAGCTATTAAATGTTTACAGTTTCTATATTGTAAGAACGATCTGGATTATTTTACTCTTCCCAGGCCAAACTTTCATGAATTGTACTGAACTGAAGTATATATTTATACTACAGTTTTTTCGGGGGTGGGGGGTATCTTGATATGCTTTTCATTGATTTGCTAATTCATGTTAAAGGTGAGAAAGGGTTGGTGCCTTGTAAATATGTAGCAAACCTTTGTGGTGTGTCCTGATGTGTGCATTAACTTTATTAAAAAAGAATACTTGAGGTATCAATCTAGACAAGGTGCCAAATGCAAAAGTTTCTTGCATCCATTTTCTTTTTCCTGTTATATTTTATTGCATTAGTAGAGCTTGTGTAGCTTAAAACATAACTTAAATGTTTGAAAAAATCCTCATCCACAAAGAATAACTTTGAATAGTAGCTCAGCTACCTCTATTATCTACAACTACTGGAAATGTTAAGGAAAATAGATAGTGTTATTCATTACTGACTAAGG